AAATGACCCTGCCATTCAATGGAATGTGTTTTATAGTACATTGTACATGTCCCATGACGGCCATCAAATGATATGGTAAATAACCAATTAATTATTATTAACATTGTTATATTTATACAGCCATGGTGTTGGAGTTATGAAAATAATGCAATTATCGTTTTCAGTTTTTCCGAACCATGAAATTTACATCTTTTCCATTTTAACCATTCTTTTTATTAGACTTCTTCATTCTGTTGCCTACTCAATAAAGATGTCATGTAAAGAGTATATTAATCTTAGTTGTTATATACAGACAGGTTTTATTGTGTACTTCCTCGGAAAAAAAAAATCAGTCTGTTCAACAGTCACCGAGCCTAATTCCTCATGGGGAAAAATTCAATATCGCACATTGACTTTAAAGACACAAACATCAAACAGCGTAGAGAGAGAAAAAAGAATATCTGCTGTTGGCTATATAATGACAACTGGGTTAAATCAATTTCTTATTAAAAGATAAAAAGAGATGCTCAAGTCCTGCCTACTTATTTAGAATACAGAGAAAACTTTTGTATTAAAAAGATCATGGGTGATAATAAAATTTCAAAATAAACCGCATTAATATGGCTGACAGGTTTCTGAAATAGTGAATACGAAAAAAAAAAAATCTTTGAAATGCGTGCAAGCAAAAAAACTTGACTGGCAGTTTAATTCACATATATGTTTCTATTTACTCGCTTCCTTCACAAAGCATTACAAAAACACATGTATGGTTTTTTGGTACAATTTTTTTGTAACTCTATTCATAACGCTTTATCATAAGTGATTTACGATGCAGGGAAGAAAAAAAGTCTTGCTTTTTTTTCCCCCTCTTCTAGAAATCAAATATGAAAGAAACGAGGGGAGGTTTAAAAGAAATGCCGGAGTTTTTTTTACATTAAAGTAATCTAAACTTAAGTTTATGGTGATAATTATCTTTTAACGACAACCATTTTATTTCCGCAGCGAATTAAATTACAATATACAGAATGATTATTATATATAAATGTATTTAATGAATTTCAGAAACTCAAGCCAATGGGGAACCTTCATTCTTTGTATAAATCATTACACTCATTTCCTGCCAAGTTTCCTTCTGAATCGGTTTTATGTTTTCTCCGGTTTTATGTTTTCTCAGTACATATCACTTTTCATCACAAAATTGCTCTGATTGAGGATTTTCATGAAACAGAATGAAAGGAAAATCATACTGCCTTAAATTATCCCATCTGACCCTCTGACCCATAATGCAACACTATTTGACACTCCCACTTCCTGTTTAAAAACAATATTACAAATCTTCATTACAAGTCACTTTTTATCATCCATGAAACTGACCCCTAAGCTTTGAAGTTTCTGATTTAATTCCAGCATTAAGAACAGCAATTATTGCTGGGTGTTTTAGGGCCCTTATCACCCAAAAGAGTATATTTATAAAGACTCTTCCTAAATCTTAAAACACTTAACACACTTTCAACATTTTCCTCCCATTAAACATATAAAAATATTCATTGCAGATCTGCAGTACCTAATTTGCAGTGAGTGCTGTTACATATTCTAACACTTAACCTGCTGAATATTGTGTAATGGATTCGCCAAGAAATTTGGAAGAGACCATTCAAAACTTGTAAGGGATTTCAACAAGAAAATAGAATAACAAATGTACCCTAACAAAATGTACTTAAATACAGACCGAGTATAGTCGTTTGAAACTTTACGCTCTTAATTGTCAGTCTAAATTTAGTACTTTATCATTAATTATAAAACATTTAATCGGGCTGTTTAAAGTTTCTCTTTCACCCAGTAATAGTTAAAATTCATGATCAATACAATTTATGCCCCTAGCTTGCATTAATATAAAATTTGAATGCATGATTCCATGAAACACCAGAGGACACAACACCCTAATCTAATACAAGGTTCACCTCCTTAATTCATACAATGTGATTAGTCAACAGATTAGCTGCTTTCTATTGGCAAGTGTCTGATTAATTCCCTTTAGTAACAGTGTGACCTTCTGTCGCCTGGCGACCCCATGAGATCAACAGTCAACTGTCCTTGTGTGAATATTGTGTCTGTCAAGATTATAATTCATCATCTGTCAGCCATAAATATTACAAATGACCCTCCATCCCTATGCTGGGTGTTAAACGGTCCGCAGCAAACAAAATGATTTCTGGCCAGCAAACAATACAAATAATTACTTGGTCCTAATAGCCATTCATTAACAAAGAATCAAGTGTTGATGATATTTAATTTATTTCTGTCATAATCAATACAAGCTTTTATCGCAAAATGCATTATTTGCATCGTTTATGTCAACAATGTTGTCAATGATAAAGTGTCACATTAAATATATTAGGACATAAAAAAGCAACAACTTAAAATGGGATAAGCAAAAAAAAAAAAAACGCTCAAAATTTATTTCCGAATAAAAGTGATACAACATCAATTCAATCACACGCCAAAATAAAACGCAAAATTTACATTTTTTGCATCGTTTACATAGTATGTATATAAATGCGTTACTGTAGACGAAGAGTGTCAACTGTAAATCAATACGCAAAAAATAACATTTAGTTCACAGGGTACATGTAAATCTATGCCCCACACCAACGATGATAAATGATTGCCTACTAAAGAAATCACTCTAGGAAAGTATGACAACACTAGATGAAAAGGACCCAATTTAACTGCCAAATAAATGCCACTCTATTTTATTACATATACAATTACATGATTTATTTTTCCGTTGGCCCGTAAAGATACATACAATTGTGTAATACAATTTTATAACAAGTGGTGCTTTTTACGAAGAGAATGCATTACAAAAACGTACTTCTTCAACTCCAAAACAAATCCTTTATAAAATTCCATATGGACTTCGGTAACAAGATGTATTTAATACAGTAGACAGCCCATGTAATTTGTAAATGTATCAGCAATCAATATATCTCTGGGACTTTATATTTATAAACAATAGTCATATATGATCACATAAATACATATACGTCAGTATATATACCTTATATATTATACATAATCTTATATAGCATAAATAAAATTATGTTGTTTCATCGAAGTATTTTTTTTATATGCCAGCTTTTAAAATCTGTTTGAAATCAAAATTTTGAAATGAACAAAAATCAAATTACTTCATTGCAATGCAATACATTTTACCTCACTTATAATGACCCATGAAAAGGCTGTTGTTAATTATTTCATTCACTTCAATCTCTTACATGATATCATTTACAATGAAAGCTTTAACTGCCAAGTGCATTCCATTAAACTTTATAACTATAGATCATTTAATAAAGATTTGTTATTTATAAGTCAATCATAATAGGAGTTTTGCTTCATGAAAAATTAATTGAAATAAGACAGTAAATGATAAAGCGTAATATTACAATATAATTGAACACGAGACGCTCCATAAATTTTCAAATTAATTACTATCTGCTCTCGATTTACGTCTAAACAATCAAATGAAGTCTTGACGCTAATATCCGAAATATGAAAGGGATATCCTTACATACAAATTTGAAAAGCTTATCTTCAAATGTCATTGAATTCGAGAAGGTGTTTTGCGTAAATTACAAGTCCTCGATATTGAAAACCGAGTTTTCGAAATGAATGTCAACCTTTTAAAGTGGTAACGAGATTTTTATCAAAATTATATTCATGTTGCGGTTAAAAGCGAGCGAAGCTTTGACAAAATAATGAGTCACGTTGAACTCGCTTTTTCATGATATCGTTAACCAAATCAATGTAACCTCGGCAAAGATGTTTTCAATTCAATGAAACTTTCTCAAATAAAAAAAAACGACCAACAATAAAAATGAAGTCGCCTACTTTAAGAATGGTCTTCTTTACATGGTTATTTTATAAAGCAAAATTCAAAACCAGAATAAACTAGCATGTAGCAAGTTTTATTTAAATATCACAAAACGACAAAATATTTTGCCGACAAAAGAATGCATATCACAACAGATTTGGCTAAAATGTCAAACCTGCCATTCTGTAAACACAAAATGAACGGCAGAAAATTAATATTAAATATGAGGCGAACTACAAATTTTCTCATAAAAAGCCCATTTCAGTCCCGCTGCAATCTATTGATTATTTCTCTCTTCTACATTTTCTGACAAGAGATTATGAATTGGTTCAATATAAATTGAAATATTATACAGTTGTAACAATGATAAATTTTGAGAATACGCTACATAAAATACTCTTAAAAGCAGCTTTTAAAGCCTCGCTATTCAGAGAAACAGTTCTTATTATTCATAATAAAACTTGACTGAAGCACTTTTAACATATTCCAATATAATCAAATAGGCATTTACATTATTACAATACTTTTCCATTCCAATATCGAACAAACTAAACATAAAAGCAAATACATTTAAAGAAAAACTTAAACGATTCAACCATTACCCCTTGATCAGCTATGTTCGAAACTTCCAATTTCAAAATACAAAATTGACGTACCAAAAGTATAGTGCCTAGTAAGACTGCAAGGATGTGCAGGCTAACTTGGCTCTATACTTGTGTCAAAGACATATCACTTTCGGCTTAATACAACAGATTTGATACATAAATCCCCAACAAACCTTATTACTATGTTATCAATCATTGCTGGTATAACAAATGCTTTTTTTGTTCTTAATTTTTGCTTTCACCTAATTGTTTGCATAATACACAATCTATTTAAATTTTATAACATCATTAAGCTAAATGAAATCAAAACTCACAAATTTAGAAACAAATAAAAATGTTTCTTATCCATTTTCACTAATTTAATTGTTCTTGCTTCCATTTAAATGAGTTTTTCTAACATTTACGTTAGGCTTAAACAAATTTAATGATAATGACATTTTACAAAGAAAACATTATGGGTCGAAACATTATTTATAAATTGCATTTAACAGCCTCATATCAGGAATCATTTAAAAAACAACCGCTACATATCATTTACTTACCACTATATGTATCATAAACTGGGGAGAACCCTGGTGGTCCTTGTAAAGGAGGCCCTGCCTGAACTGGAAGGCCCGGGCCTGGCTGCAGCACATGAGTGTGATGGTGTGTATGCACATGTCTCTGAGGTGGCGGTGAATTCGTAAAATCCCTATGTTTATCATATGTACTTGTAGAAATATCTGTCGGTTTGACCGGTCCCGGAGAAGAATTCCGAGACTTGGGCTGCCCTTTTTCTGACAGTTCATGGATTTTATGCACATTACTATAATATGGTCCATGGCCACTATCACCTTTTTTCAGGTCACTTTCACTTGAAACAGGACCTGACTTTTGAGCACTTACTTTTTCTTTTTCATCGTCCCCAGGGGGTCTATATCCCATTTGTGAGGGATGAATATATGAATTGCCCGGATATGCACTTACAAGCGCTGGATTAACACTATGATTTCTATACATTGGATGAGATGGGTCCATTCCAATATAATTGGGATGCTGCATATATGGATAGGTGTTCACATACTGATTATATGACGGAGAACCTGGTAAACTTGAACTAGACGAGGTCATCGGACTGCCTGATTTCGAACTACTTCCACCAGGCCTTTGTTTAGGCGTTTCTGGGTTCCTAGTCGGAGTTTCAGACCGGTGTTTGTCTGGTATAGGTGTCCGAGACTTCTCATCTACAGATTTCCCTGAATCAGAATACTTATTAGCACTTAAATCCCTCACATGTGTATCCCTAACCTCTCTCAACTTAGATTCATTACCGTTCGAATCACGTTTAACACTATTATCTCTATCCCTCATATTTGCACTTTGTAATTCCACACTAGCACGGAGACCCGACGACATACTCCTTGGGTTATGTTCAATAATCGGTTTAGTGCCGGGAGCCTTCGACGTTAAATTTTCTGGCCTACCTGCACTTTTTCTTGCTAATTCCATTTTCTTTCTTTCCTCTATCATTTTTTGTTCTTGATACATTTGATGCCTTCTTCTCTCCTCATCCTGCTGCTTTTTGAACCTTTCATAATCATGCCTATTCTTATCCATTTCATTCTTCAAGTCAATATTCTCTTTCAGAATCTGATGCGTTTCATTCTGCTTATCTCTGAATGACTGATCTGATTTCATACCTGAAACTTTTTCTTCACTTTTTATATTTTCATTTCTTTCAGCATTCTGATTTTGTACAGGTGAAATCATAGATTTCTGCAAACTATTGTCATCCTTTTTACTTAACATAGGCCCCACATTAGATGACCCTTTTGCATCTGGTCCCCTGTTAAAGTCTCTATCTGGTCCCGGTCCACCTTCTCTGTCTGGCCTGCATGGATCACCTCCTTGTGCCCTACGCTGGGGATCTTCCATCATTTGCCTCATGTAATTACCAGAGTCCATAGGGTACATGCCATTTACCATGTACTGATATTGCACATGCTGGGGTAAAGACTGAAATAAATACATTTGGTGCATCTGGTATTCATGGTACTGCTGTGATGAAAGATTATTAGGAGGGGGACCAGACATTGGAGGCATGGGGCCTTTCGGTCTTGGTCCATTTCCTTCTTTTTCTTCAGGCTTCTTTTCAACTTTAGGCTGATTTTCTGGAATTTTCTTTTCAGTATTTTGAGGATTTTTATTCATGTCTTGATTCGCCTGACTTCCCTGTGCTGGGGTTCCACTATTTGAGCCAGTGCTTTTCTGACCTGGTGACATTTCATTCATTCTGTATGGAGAATGGGCATAGTACGAGTACATCCCATAGGGAGGTACCATCTGACCCTCTGTTTGCTGAGGTGGGGTTGCCTCTCGCTTTTCCTCTTTCTTGTTGGCATTACTAGAGTCTTCCTTATGTTTCTGTGGACTTGTGTCAGAAGGAGCTGCTGGTGAAGCGGACTCGTTTGCATCAGATATATCAGAATATGCCGGACTTTGGACGTCATCGTTCAATGCACCTTTATGATTATCTGGAGTGTTCACTTGAAGTGGTGAACCAACTTTCAGAAGGTTGGGGTTCTGACCACCTCTGGAATGTGTGAGATCAACACCTTTATGCTGATGTGGTGTTAGAGAATGAGATCTAGGTATGTCTCCCATGCCAGGTCGCGAATGATCTTTATGTCCACCGCCCTCTCGTTTACCTTGATCAGACTGCTGCCTATTATTTGGCATGGGATTTGTTTTTATAACGCCAGTTCGTTCAATTTTAATAGTAGGCTGTTCAGGTTTACTTTGACTATTACCATTTCCTGAACCTTCTTTATTTTTCTTCTTTTGTAACTTTTTTCTATCTTTATTCAAATCGGCAAGAACTGGATTGATGTTTTGTGGTTCTCCCATAATCGTCGGCTTAGGCTGAATAGGTTTCAACTGAGGTGACACCTGCGTATGTGACATCACTGGTGACATGTTTGAATGAGTCACTTGAACATTTGACAGCACGGTATGACTTGGTGCTGGAACAATAGGCCTATTTGCTTTAGTTACACGAGTATCGGGCGCTATTTTCGGTTTGATATCTACAAGTTTCGAGTCATTTTTCTCGCCCTGAGACACAGACTGAACGACTGATGTGGTCATAGTGGATGCTGTCGGAGATAAAGCTGATGTTTGACTAGGTATAGCTTGCACTGAGTTAGACGTTACTTGACTAGAAACTGTAACATTAGCCGTTATATTACTACTACTGTTCGATTTAGAAATACTACTCTGTGGACCAGAAGTTTTACCATTACTTTGGGTCACTGGTACTTTATTATTTGAATTGTTCTCTTTCTTCTTTGAGTTATTATTTGAGTTATCACATTTAGAATCACTTTTATTTCCTGTATCCTTATTGTCAACATTACTCTCTTCTTTTTCACCTTTTTTCACCGCGTTTTCCACTTTATCAGACTTTGTTTTATCTGAAACTTGTCCATTTTCTTTATTTGTTTCCTTCTTGCTTGCATTATTTTCCTTCTTAGCCTCTTTCTCTTTTCTTACAGAGTTTTTAACAACACTAAGTGGTATATCTTCAGTGTCCATTTCCTCTTTGATATCATCTACTGAATTGCTTGAGTTAAACCCAGAGTGAGCATGTGACTGATGATAACGGAGTCCATTAGCATTTTTATATTTTTTATTGCAGTTGGCCTCGGGACACTCCAAATAGCCCTGTGTATCTGCTGGGGGTGTTTCAATATTTGGCGTAGGTGCCTGAGAGCCTGACCTACTTCTTTTCGAACATCGCTGCTCAGCAGCGGATAAGTCAATGTCTTGTGGGCGGCCCTTTCTCTTAACTCCGCCCACTGATATATCCGACTTTGCCGGACTTGGTGGTGCAGTGAATGTCTGTACATTACTGCCTCTTCTACCTTTTCTCAATGTTCTTGTGTCCTGAACTGGGGTATTAGCTGCCCCGCGCCTTTTACCTCGACCTTTAGGAGTCCTTGATTCAAACTCGATTGTCGGTGAATCACAGTTGAACCTGGAAATATATAGAGAACCAACTGGTTACAAACTTAAGCCACATGATCTGAGACAGTAATCAACCATAACATCAATAAGTCTTATCACATAACGTATACTAATTTAGACATTATTTTCCTAAAATGAACAAATATTTCATAATGCAAAATTAATTTTTTTTTTCATCTGGCTGAAAGCTTCTATAGAAATATGAAATCATTTAGATAACTGTTACTATTATAGGAAGCAGACACATTTCTAATACTGCAACTGTTCATCTGACAAGTTGACCAATTCAATATAATTATCCACATGGTTATGTCACTAACGAAAAAAAACTTTTCTCAGAATGTTAATGGAAAGGTCATCTACAGAGTGAACTAAACAGTCACACTGTCTCTTTAGTTCCTTCTTGATATTTTTTTCTTCTATTTTCCCACCAGTTTGGAGACAGATTGACAATGAAAAAAAAGCAGGGAAAAAAACAAGAAAAAAACCCAGATAAAATGAATTACAAATCTTTTTCGCATATTGTCCAGACATGGTGATTGCATTTATGCATCTTTCAGGGGAAATATTCTATCTAGATTGCAATTAAAATAACCAATATAAGTGTCTACACATACTGCAGACAAATGTCTGAACCAGAATCTAAGTATCAATGTCAATTATTATTGGCTTAACATAAAAGATATGACTTGAGACATGCTGCAGCCTGGGACAGAAGCTTTCAAAAAGCTAGGTTTTTTCACCAAGAAAAAAATATCAACTGGAAAAATGTAAAACAAAATGGACTTTTTTTGCCACCATTTCATTACAACAGCTTTTTACATAAATCATTGATTTATGAGAGCTGCAGAAGTCATTCAAGATTTAATATACCATGTTTTAAGTACCAGCTTTAGATAAAGCAGGTTTTCTCCATGAGAAAAGGTTATAGAATACAAGCAAGAGTACAACTTTAAATGAAGAAATGCTTTGAATCTTAAATTTCTGTTCAGTTACAAAAGCGGTTATGTTATATGTTTTTAACAATGAATTAATTTAAAACGACTTTGAATTTTGGTTATCAAAATCAGAGTTTTCTCAATGTACGGGACAGTCATGATCTATTTTAGATAACTACACCCAGTACTAGTATGGTTAGCATAATTTTTTTTGGCTTAGGTTTATTCTGCACTGATACTTATCATACTTACATAGCATACCGTATTTATAATGTCAATTTATCTATAATATGTGCTATAATGTTTAAATTATATCAGCGAATCCATTATTCATATCAATTTTTTTTTTGCATTTAACTGAATAAATACCACACGGAGAAGGTAATAATTCCTCAATTTCCTTAATTTGAACGTTACATTGTAAATGTGGACTTAATTATATTTCATCAATTAACTAACAGCGAACATGCAAAATAACTTAATTGCCAAGGATAATAAGATTACTATTAATAGAACTTTCATTCAATTTGTAAAGAATTCCTTGGCACATATCATATCATAATTTCAGTTTCATTATTCATCTAAATGTAATTAATCATTATGTTCGGCTAAAAGCTATATTTCCATAGATATCATTTCCAACCAGATACTTTTTCCAATTTGTTACATGAAATCTAAATAATGCACTTCGACTCTTTTTTGCGTGTGCAGCGTTTCGCAATATTTCGTGCTAGAAACACATCGCATGTTCGAATCATAATAAAAGACCAGACAAGTGTATCAAATTAAGGAGTTTTCAATATATTTATAATACGCCACACCAGACACTCTGTTTTCTATATCTCCCTACCTAAAAACACTTCATGACAGACACATTACTGTCTGCAAACAATTTATTTTATCTATAACAACTTATATCATGTCAAGGAAATTGATGTTTTCTTTCCTGCGTGCAGTCTAAAGAATGAAAATACATATCATCATCGCAGAATACTCCAGAAGTTTGTCAAAATTTGAGGGAAAAAAAAGCCAATCTTTTATAGATAATGTTAAATATGAATCTACAACTAAATTGGTAATAGAAATTGGGGTGGAGTTCATATTTGCCAGAATAATAAATTCTCAAATAAAAGATTAATTTCATCTCGCGCTTTAGAAAGTATTTTAATGACTGATAAAAATACAACTCTTATTTTAGATGATTAAAATCTGAGCCCAGAACCTTAATAATGCTATTAACGCCTTTAAAAGCTGGGGGTTAAAGGGTTTCAAAACTACTTAGACCGCTACAATATTATACATGTATAATGGCATTTAAACTTGTCAATCTACAGCCATGTGACACATTTATAATTGTGAGCTTTAAATTTTGTATCTTAAAAAAATGATCCAAATTAATGTATACAATGTCAAAATAAACATTATTACATTAAATATACAAATGAGATTTTTCATTTTGGTTTTATGAATATCAAAAACATTTTTGTTTAATTTTCTTTTTTGGTTTTATGAATATCAAGATATCAATCTAGCATAGAGACATTCTCCCTACACACACTCTCTCTCCTTTTTATCCACAAATCTGCATCTAAATGCAGCGCCTGCCTTAATTTACATAAAACACATTTCGCATTTACAAAACACTAGGCAAGCTGTTTAACTTAAGATTATACGAAAACTCGCTCTTAACAAATTTCTCTAACAAAGCAAACCAGACGAAATTCTTCACATAAACTTTATTACAGTGGATTTTTTTTTGCACTTGTAAAACAGAAATTAATCTCTGCCTTGATGTGGCAGATAAACAAGATAAAAATATGCTTGAATAAATAATGATTCATGCTAAATTTTACAAATGCGGGAATGAAAAACTTGCCCTATCTAAATCGCTAACAGCTTGACAGTTCACCAGTATGTCCATACTTACATTACCAAGGTTTATGAAATAATTTATCTTTCACCGAATGTGCACGTAGGAACATGTAACTATATGTATCTACGTCAAATTAAAATGGTGTTCGAAAAATTACCATACTCTACACATTAATTATTGATGTATAAAACATTTTCCAATAATAAAAAGATCTACATTAAAATATAATATTCATGTGTGCTTCTTTTTTATTGCTCTCCATGGATCGTCACAATTCCAGATTTATTAATGAACTTAATGATTTCCTATATGATTTCCTATATAATACAAAAAGCATTAAAATTAAAATATATCAAAATTAATGGTGTTACATAATTAATGATTAATCTGTTTTCTTGCTTAGATCATTATTAAGACTAATTTTTTATTGATAATTATGCACTGAATTAATGAACTTAAAAATTATGGGATAGAATGGAGTGTGTGTGGGTGTGTGTGTGGTGTGCATGGGTGAGGAGATTATTGTTGTATGAACGTTCTTTAAAATCGAGCTTAAAATTATTATTTTAAGAACCCTAATACTTGGGAACATCAAGATTAAAAATTAAAGTAAGTTATACTGTCAGCCAATAGGGTATGGTCTGCGCAGACTAGCCTCAGACTCTATACTTGTAGTATACTGTAAAGGCTCACCTGTAACTTTCTATTTTATCAGGTTATATAATGGGTTAAACATTACATTCAAGTGCTTCCTTTTATAATATTGATTCATATTTGTCCTCAATGAATAAAAAAGTCATTTCCTTTCACGCTGCATTATCACTTAATGCCTTCCTCCATTGAAAGTCATTGGCATCATGTATAAATATCAACGCTCGTAACCTCGACTGTAACCTTGACTCGACTATATAGCCATGTTTTACTAATCTATCTAAGAGATCGCGATCTTTATGTTAACATACAACTTCAAACGGAATCAAACCAACCCTGTATTCATGTAACATTATCCGTTCACACTCATACAAAACATCTACGTAAAACGCAAATTACGAACCACATTATCAAAATCGTGACTCTGTGCACTGGAGCAGCGCATTAATAAATTACTTAAGCATTAACGCCTTAAAGCAATCGGGAATGTTTTAAATAAATCATTACTTTTATAAGGCTCTTGTTTAACAATTTATTACACTTAATGTACAAACCTGAATTTTTTTTTCTTTTACTTTAATTAATATTTATACAGTATATTACTATAAGCATAGTTTGTATTAACTTCCATGTCACATAATTAATTATTACTAACACAATGATGGGACAAATTTGTTGGGTGATTTATATATTTATGTTAATTATGCACTTCAGCGTGAAGATGTTTAATTAATTGTTTCAATTAAAGAGATCTGTGAGAGCCATGTCTTTTAACGTTAACTTAATGCAAGGCAATTTCTAAACAAATGTGCCGAGCAAAAAATAAACCGCATTTATGAAGAATATAATGACATACAATTTAATATACAACTTGTTTAATTTACGTGCAATCTTTTCTTGGGGGATTTAAGTGGCTGGTTTAAAGTACTTACTATTGAAACATATTAACAATCTTTTCCGCAGAAAATTACATGGAATTACGCTCGAACTAAATATTTATACTGTTCCTTATATAATGAATATTAAAAAGCTAGCTATCATATCAAATAAATGACTATAATTATGTAATGTTCGAACTAAAAATTAAAAAAAAATATAGTGGAAAAAAAAACAAAAAACGGAATAATGTTTAGTGCAGATCATGTGCGCGCTATCAAAAACAATAATATTATCAAATTGATTTATTTCGCACACTACTTAATTAATGCTATTGTGTGGGGGAACACTTATCATACTAGCCTACGGCAATCGGCCTTTTGTTGATTGTTAACAATGTAATCTCATTTCCTCTGTATACAGTATAATACCACAGAGATAAAGTTACATTATAATGGTAAATTATCTTCAATAAACTCCTGTATTGTATATACACAACTTTGTAATGTAGAGGTTAGTTCAACTCCTCGACAAAAATGATCTTGTTTTGAAAATGAAGCCTGAAATTAAATTAAATTCTTTTTTTGCCACTGTACTTAGTAACACTCAATAGGACCACATTTATGTACAATTCATTTTTTCACCCTTCAATTTATTTTATTATTAAAATTGTTTAATAATGTCGGAAAAAATTAAAGCCGAATGTGTTAAATTTTAACCAATTACACCGACACATTTCCAAGCCTGACTTTCATAATTCCTGGCCTGAAATTTAAAATTCTTGGTCTGATACTGGTGTGAAATACATAATATTGTCAATATTATAAACTATATAAAGCTTAAATATTTAACCCCTTTTTTTTGAAACAATTTTCAGCAGGACACATAATTGTTACTAAAAGCATCAATGTCAAATCTATCATTTTGCAAGAGATACATTTTCCACTAAAACAACATTTGATGGGTTTTTTTTCCCAATTAAATTATATTCACCTTTCCACAATCATGTGTTATATCAAATTTTGATCATATATCTTTTTTTTAATTAAGTTATCTTCACTACTTTACACGCATTATATCAATTTTCAATCATAAATCTTTAAAATTATCCGATACCTCGTACATTTAAAATGAGCTATTTTTATCCTTATTGAATCTTGAACAATTATCAATTAAAACAAAATTTAATGGTGGTAACAAAATTTTTATCAAGATTTGAAAAAAACGAAAATTTACGTTGAAATATCATAATGTTTTCAATACATTATTAACGCACAAGAAAATCCCGAGAGTGTATGGTTAATAGACTGTATATCGAATAATCTTGAATTAATATGACTTGCTAAATAATCAAACACGCTGACTTAATAACTTCCGCACATGAAAGAATTAAATGTCCTCCTGTGGATAAAGGAGGTAACCGGGATTCAGCTAGGCCATTTAAATAAATTCTCGAAGCTTGAAGGCAAAGCAAACCAGTCAAACAATAAAACCCAACCAATCAAACAAAAAACCGTGAATTATAGCTTGGATGCACTAGTGATCACCAAACGCTGTACAATTATATGCGATGCAAAGGGCTAATTTTTGACATCTTTTATGATTCAATTGTCTGAACTAAAGGCAAATAGAGCTCAAGTAATTTTCCCTTCTTTAGACAGGCCTAGTAAAGGGTCCCATTCCAAATCACAAAAAAATGCCTACTTTTCCTACTATCCTGAAATTTTCTTCAACAATTCTCGATGACCTTATGTCACAGCCATCTTTTTTCTCAAATTTACTCAATTTCATGGCTGAAAAAAAAATCTCATTTAAGATGATCTGGATCCCATATAGTATTAGGCTAACGAATTTTTATTTACACCGAAAGCTGGCCTTTTTGTCTAACCTAGTCATGCCAGCATGTACTTTTATTGCTCTCTCATGTTGGCTATTAAATTTCAGTATTTCGATCTTATTGGCCCAACATTATGGCATTTAAGGTTAAGCTTATCATCCCTTAAAAAATGGAAATAAACTGTTCCATATACCAAGAAGGGATAAGTCTATTTTTTGCGACATCTCTTTCAGTTTAAGCATTATGCATCATGAAACTTCTTGCGAGTCCAGCATTGCAACTGTTTTGTATTGTCTAATATTGTATTGTCTAATATTTCCGAAGTTTCCCATGGAAAAAGGGGGTAATGAAATTAAAGGATAAATCATTCAACCAGCTTTTTAATTGAAATATACGGCTGACGAGCCTAATGTTTAAATAAATCAAATACTTAATTTACAACGCTATTGGCTTTGTTTTCTGGAGATGAACAATTGAAAACTTTCTCTCGTTTATAAAGCAGAAAAAAAAACTACTTAACCTCATTTATATCAAGTTTCCTGGGTAAAATTTTCTCCCTTTTCAGTATTTTTAAACAAAGACCTCAAACTCTGACAAAGTTTTATAACTTTTAACACAAGACCCAGAATAATTAACTTGACCAATCATAAATCGTTGTTTTTTTGTTTTTTATAAAGATATTAACACTTTATATCACATTTGAAATATTTAAGACTTTTCAGCGTTAACTATTGAAATTACATGTACAATTTACATTGTATTAAGCTATATCTGTTCTATGAAATTATAAAGCTCTCAGCTAGCAATTAGAAGCAAGCATTTTCTGTGGCATGCAAATTACCCTACCATTCTCCCTCTAATTTCTTCAACGCATACATCATTCTTTTCTTAATTATAGAAATTCGCCTTTTTCTTAATTCTTAATTCAAATCTCATAACAAAAATAATACGTCTCCCAATGAGAAACTTGTCACATCTCGGGACACAACGGCCACTATCATGAGTAGAAAAAATTGATTTAGACAATTATTGCCGAGAGGACTGCCTATTGATCGGTCTACGTTACAGGCCCAATATACAGAATGCGTTTCCCCAATAGGCAGACACTGTATTATCTGTGGTGTACGCTACACTGGGCACGATCAATAGACACTCTTAATGGCACGCTAAACTTGTCAACTTAAATTTGATACATATTTACGAACAAACAGAGAATCTCATTTCCCTCGGTTTTTACGAATAATTATCAAAATGTACACGTCGTGGAAAAAATATTATGATGGTATGAATTAGGCATCTAACCAGCCATGTATTAAATGTTTGACAAACATAATTGGTTTGATTATAGGAAAATGGTAACAATATGGGAACAGTAAATCTGTTTTTCTTAGTTAGTTGAAAATTCATTTCAGAATAATAATTAAAATTTTATACACTTTATAGCGTTAAGATTGTGTTAAACTGGATTAAATGAAAATCTTTTTTGATTTTTGAATTAACATTTTACTTATTAACTGGTAGACATGCAGACTGCTGCCAGCATCTGGTTCTACCTATGCATCTAGTGCAGACCTAGATCAGCCGCATATGCCGGCAATAATAGATGGATACACATTTACACACCTTTGTATGTGTGTTGTTTTTTTCATGATCTGTAATGTCCACTACTCAATCAGTACACATTTTGAAAATCTGCCTAAAATTTATGTATGGTTTGGTTTAGATTGAACAAGTCGATTTAAAATATTTAGCAGATTTTAGGTAAATACATCTAAATCAAACTGGTATCTAATGCAATAAATACCATTTTAAAGTTTACACTCTTAATCAAATAACATTCAACTTTAACGCGATGTGAAATGCGACCACATAGTGTCACCAGTAAGCTATTCACGGGAGCATATTTCAAAATCGGGACAATATTCGTAGCAACTATAAAATCTCAATTACTTTTATTCTCCTATCTCTTTCATATCACACGACTGATATAGACTGATACACGAGTTATTGTTTCTTTTTAAGCTGCGAGTTAAGAGACTTAAGTTACATACAAAGACAATTTCTTATCAAAACATAAGGGGATTATACCAGCGTATCAAAATCACCCTCTCGCCACACTTCCCCTTTTTCAGAAGAGGCGAAACTAAATAAAGACTGACTGTTGGACAATTCAGTATGATTCAATTACTTCAGATACGGAAAGGACTTCTACTCAAAACTTTTATTTTCCTTCTTTCCTAAAATTCACAATGAACGTTACATGATTATGAATAAAAAAACAGTTTCGAGTGTCTCACTTTAAAATGTCTAGGAAAATAAAACCGTTCCCTTACTCAATGCTTTAAAAGAACAGTTTTAATTCTTCACTAAATTAACTGTTGAATAAGTCATTCTGAACTGCCATTTTGACTTTTTTTTTTCTTCTTTTTTATTTTATTTATATTTTAATGTGATTACGACCTAGACTTAGTAGAAAACCAGCCACCACTGTTACAAGTTTGCGCAGCGTAACTGCAAACAAACATTATGTAATTGATTGCCTTACAGCACATTTGTACAGTAAGTAATTCATTTATAACATGTGCGTTTTTAAAATTATGTTTGTCATGTACATCTCTCGTCTTGTTTCCTAAATAACATAAAAACAAATAATCCACTATTGTGTTAACTGCATTAGAAACAGCATAATGGAATTAATTAAACGAATATCATAAATTGAGTGCTTACTGTGAAATGTGTGAAAAGTTTGAAATGCTCTTAACTTGCATAATTATTTAATGACATGAAAGTTCACACCAAGCCCTTGCATTGTACTTAATAATGACTTCTTTGTTGTTTTTTTTATTTTCCTTAACTGACGTATATTTCTAACTCATAAATACATACATAACATCCAGTATTATATATTAAAAGAGAAAACGTTAACTCTAAATCTTTTGTAATTATATCATTACCACTGTTTGCAATACACGGCAAGGCGAAAAAAAATACTGCGTTAAAACAGCGTTATCAAATTTCTTATCATCTATGATCTATTTTTGACTGATTGCTTTCTTTGATAGGTTGATAGAGAAACCTCATGATGTACAATTATCTATCACAATAATATTGTTTTCCCTGTGTGTGCGCTCATAGCGCTCATATTCTATTTGTTCGCAAAGAAAACTTAGAGAATAAATAATACAGACACTTAATTGTTTGCTGTTTATTTTCCTCAGACAAAACGACTGCCCATTATAATTCCTTCTGGTATTTGTTACTGAAGTGAAAGAATGCTTTTAATAATACAAACGGGCAGACATATCGCTGTTTATTCTATACTTCTCAAAAAACAAAACATATTAGCAAAAAAAATTTTTATGATTTGCCTATGATTAAATAACCATTAAATCATTATTTTCGTTTCCTTTGTCTTTTTAGCTAAATTAGTGTACAAAAACAGAAATACGTGTTTAGAATCCTTAAGCCACTTTCATAATAATAAAGTAAATCTTTTTAATATATATGATTTATAAATTTCAAAGGTAGTTACAATTTAACTACATGTAATTCATTTTGGCTACTCCTTCAGCAATTTCTCAGGTATATAAAGGAAGATTAAAGCAGCCCAGGCAGCAAGTTGGCTATTCCAATATGTAGACATAATGGGAACCATTCCAATTATCGGATGGTCCAATGGGAACCTGTACAATTTAAGGACAGACCAATCCTGGTTGCCATGACAACAATTAAAATATCTCACCTTGGTGGTGCCCAGTCGTGCCTTGTAGCATCAAGCAGGGTTCCAACATAGGTCTTCCCACGCCATGTTACATTGACCACCAGAACACCTAGATTTATAATGTACGTGTAATTACTACCCAATCACAGCATCCCTCGTGACATTTTAAACTTCAATAGAAGCCGTAACACAATGCACACATATGTTCCAGCATGAACTCATTGTTTTAAATTATCATAAAACAGACAGGCAAAAGCTGTGGCCATATGAATGCATGTTTCCAACATAAATTACTTCTCAGATTTCATAGTAATTACAAGCCTGCCAACTGTTTTTCTATGGTTTTCAATTGTGATCAGGGACGGTGTTGTTTTTTTCTTCAATGTACTTAAACATAAAATGGTATCTTATAAAAACCTGACTATATTGACAATTGTATCATCGATTTCCTTCTGAATCATGTTTGGAGCCATTCATGTCGACTTCGTTTCAATAATTTGCTAAAAATGTGCAATTTTCATATCATGTATCTATGCTAAATCAACTCCATAACATAGATATATAAATATGCAATACCACAAAAAATTGCCATCATAGATTAGCAGGTTCGACAAAAATTTCACACTCATTTAAACATTCAATCCCATATACATACTTAAGGAGAGCAAAAATCCCAATCTTAAAACCTGCCACTTAATTTCAGGAGGTTATTTAATCATAATATAAATATATGAAGGGCACATAAAACCACAAATCAAAGGGAACATTTCATACATCATGTCAGGGCATAAATCTGACTGGGGTGATATTACACATTCCAATGTCAAACATAGTCAAGTACGTATGACATTTTCCCTGTTGACAGCCATTTGTTAGCAGGAATTAGTAATACCTTTAGATAATTAGCATAGTAGGGAAATAATCTCTTGTAAGAATTAATTATGTGCTAATCATTTATACCAGATCCATTTTTATTTTCTTACACAAGAGATGGGGATCAAATATCCTAATCTAGGGAATTAAAATAGGGTCTTGGATTAATCCATTTTTAATCAGTTACATAAAAATATGCAGATTATCGGCGAAATGCCTTTTCACCTTTTAGGCATTTATACATCATGAAAGACCGCTTAATCCCCATTAAAAACCATTTCGTTGTGTATTAACGACACATAAATCATTTTAAAAAATAACCTTTTAAGGAGATTAAGAATTGATTTTTTAAAATCGGAATAAGTCAGTTTAAAAAGCTCACCATTTTCCGACTCGTGCCAGACTATACCCTCCAACGTCACCTGCGTACCAGGTTCACATGGACCTAGGCAATCTGGATCTGTTACTATGGCAACATCGCGAGTATCAGTCGCAGCATCTTGCGATCCTTGTGACGTAGAACTGGAAGGTGCAGCAGAGGTGGCCAAGTTTCCCGATGATTCAACCTGATAATAAACGAACATAGAATGGCGTTAAAAAAAAAAATCTCTTTTTTTTTTTAAATTCATTTATCTCTTTTTACTGGCAACCTCGCTAACTAGGATTACTGACATAGAAAGATTAGTTGTTAGTACATTATTTTGTCCACTAAAGTAAGCATCATTTATTTAAATGGAATCAGTTGATTAAAGTTAAGATTTATCTTTAATCGGGTATTGACATGAAATCAATATATTAACTGGTCTACTTGTTTAAAAAATTAATACATGAATATCCTTGTTTTTGCCTGCAGCTATTTATAATGTCATGTTTATTTATTGTCAGAAATAACCATACTTTTGTAAAATTTATAACCTTTCCTTTTATTGTAAAAAAACTCAACTCGTTTTCATCGACCTTTTTGACACACAAGCTGTTCATTGTTTGTAACAAATTTCTTAAACTGTATAAGTCACAAAGCGCTACTGAATCAAAATACTTAAATATAGATTTACTTTACATACAAAATAAAGATATAGGAAAAAGATTTTGGCTACTGACTACAGGTAAATCTAGTTTAGATTAAAAAGAGAGCTTATTTAATATAAAGAAGAGAAGAACTTGTTTACTTAAAAACTTTAGTCTTTTATAAGCAACAATTAGAACATTCAACCGTCAGTGAAAACTTATCTTTCTGTACAGAAAAATCAGATCTTAACTATATATTTTACACTTAATTGAAACCTTCAAAAACATTTGCTTTTAAAAAGTCTTTAAACCATGTTCATAATCATAACACTTCATATTTTACTCGAATTCAACAATTGCTTGAACATTTAAACGGCTCTTTAAACCATGTGAAAATCTGTTAATCATTTCACCACATGTCGAGAGTAATTATATATGCAGAAATGACACTACACACAGTGACATATGTGTTAAATTTCCATTACAATCGCGAGCACAAAACTTTTGTATATTGTAACTACACAATACACATACACACACCTTTTTCCTCATATTTCCTAAATCACAATATCAAATCTCTAACAAATAAGTTTGTCCAACCATCTCCTTGAGTGACTCAAGGTAAAGTAAACAGTTTGTAAAAATGAGAAAAATCTGTTAAGTGTAGTGCCTTTTACAATCAATTTAGATTTCACAGTTTGTAATCACACTAGGCAAATAAACACTGTCTATAGCCTATCGCTTGAATAAAGGCTAAAGGAAAAAGGACAGGCTAGGTCTAAGTATCGACTTCTTTACAATACAGCAAACATGCTGTGGTGTATAGTATATCCTGGGGGACATTTACATTTCACACGATTTTAATTCGAGATATGACAATGGGCCATGTTTAATGGTCAAGACTGGAGTGCCATGATGAATGACCAATTAAGCCTATTTACTGATTATATCTGATAAGATAAATATATAGATAAGGTATTATTTAAAGTAGCGAAAATAGTTAAACAATCAAACACTAACGCTTCACGGTTCAGTGAAAACCTGTTTTAACCAGTTGTCATTATAAATTTAAAATGATATTTTTTGTTTGTCTTTATTAAATATGGTTTGTATATCATTCAGCCTATAATGCTGCAGTGAAATATTTTTTCAGCCTGTGAAAATATTAGTTAAATGTAAAAAAATACCAGAGGTTATTTCATCACTAGAAATACTTTTTATTTCAATAATACTGGCATACCATGCAAAACCATAGTAAAAAAAAAAATGTGCTATAATTTAATAATGTAGCAACAGTATAACATTACACCTGCAAAGTGAGTTTTCTTTCCCCGCTTTATAGCTAGGAAAAAAAAAAACTATATTAATCAGGAGGAATCAAGTCAAAGAGTTTGTACACAAATTTACTGATGTCTGTAAAATATCTTTTCCTGTAATTGGATTTAGCATTTCCCTCAACAAAATATTGATTTGATTACATTATACTTTTCTTTCCAGAAACTGTTACATTAATCTAAAACATTACTGAGTGCCAACTTTATCACTTAAGAAATAAACTTTCACAGGTGTTAAGTTTGAATCCCAATAAGCAAGAATTTTTTTTAAAACTCTAAATTACCATGCTAAATATTTTAGATGGACTTTTCTGTCCCTCAATCTGGACAAGATTGTTCATTATTTTTAAAGAAATTTTAAAAAAGAGTAATGACTAAAAATTGATCTGCACTATGTCTTAAGGGTAAATTTTTTGTTAAGAAAATCGCTGCTGAATACTGAACTGGGTCACACAAGCTAAAGGTCAAACGTCCCTAACTCTTAGGTACCACAAATTGAAGTCAAAGGTTTTTTAATGCTCTGAATCATGAGTTACGCAAGGAGGTGCACTTTTTTTCTTCACTCTCTTTGTATAAAATTGCCATGACATTGATTGCGTGACCTTGACGTGCTCCCCACACATCTAACCCTGGCCTCCACTTCATATATCAGACAAAGTCAAATAACAACTTTCATCATATTTGTAATGCAAAAGTGACATGTCAAAAACTTTACATTTTTTCCCCTTACAAAATATTTCACTGGATTAGCATATAACCCTTTCGCTAAACAACTGTGCGATATCTTTTTTATAAACTTAACACAATATCAATATGAAATTCATAAATATTAAAGATCAACCTTATAAAAATTTATGCAATATCATGAATCGAGTTTTTATTCTATGCCATAACGCTTACAATTTTTATTTTTATTATTAACGTAAAACCTCCATTTACTTGCAAGTCAAGACTTAAACAAGATTTTATACCGTATCAAGTGCTATTAACAATGAATTAAAGTCAGCTGTAAAATACCTCATCTCCAATCATCTAACAGGTAGGAATTTATGGCTTATTGCACTGGGGCGATAAAATCAAATCTCTTAAATCCGAAGTTTATCTTATTAAAATGTTCAATAGACACTCACCAAATACCATACGTCTTTACTCAAAATGTTCCTAAAATTGATTCAATGGTCTACATACCAGGGGGACTAAATTAGAAATTTGTCTGACATTTTTTTCCCATTTATTAATCACGAAGGTTTTAAAACAGAGCCGGTGTAAGAAGAACCAAATAATGAAACATAAATGCCCTGCGTAATAGCATTGAATTTAAACATGAATTGAGCTCCTGTGAGGTTAGTTAATTCTACACACACACAAACTTTGATAAACTAGCAATTTAAGGTAATTACAAAAAAAGTTTTTGGCTTTGTAAATAACGAAAGAAAACAAAATGAGACTTAACTTTACATCCAAAAGCTTCCTAAACTTTCTAAGACTACGCTAGTTTGAATAAATGGCTCATACAACACCATTATAAATTAAAAAAATTAGCTTTCATGCCCATGATGTCTTGACCTAAACTTGATCCCCCCCCCAATGGTTACCATGGTTACACAAAATGGGAACCAATGTCATTTTTTAAAATTTAACCCCATTGATTTTTTTTTTACTTTATTTCACAAAGCCTATGTCTTCATTTTATATTTAGTGCGGTAAAACAATTATATTTATTCAGTTTGTAACAAACTCATTAAATATTAAAACCTGCAATGCCGGATGTTTTGATAAGAAATAAAATTAAGTACTCACAAGTTCTGGGATATTTTTTTTTTTTTTTTTAATAATAATTTTTATCAATTGGGGTATAATGTGAATCTTCTCTAAAAAAAAAAAAAAAAATCAGTGAAAAAACACACTGTAAATTTATTAGAAACAGGAAACACATTTCCTGAAACAATACACTAAATATCCTAGTAAAAAGATGTAAAAGTTTGTATATATAATTAACTTTCAGTATATATATATATACAAGTGGGTGTCTGTGGCTATATAATCAAATGTAGTAACACAGTCTGACAATACACAAGAGAATCGCTGAATCAATTATGAAATATTACATCAAAAGCTACCTCAAACTGTTCCTGACTGATGTAAAACTGTTCTTTTATTGTTGCCAAATCATACGCCCGACCAGTCAACCTTAAAAAGCTTAACTTAAACAAGCAATTAACTGAAATTCTACCTATCAAAATAATCAATGTGCAAAAAACAAACTTTGATCCCGTTTTTATTAAAATCAAACTGACTTCGTGCCACGTTGAAAGCTTTACCTGTACTCTCAGATAAAGAGATTATAATTTAATCTGTATTTTTCAACAAAGCGAATTCTTGATTATATACTATAGATATTTTCTATTTAAGTATAATAGTTTGAAACCAAACAATATTAATAACTGAGCTTTTCCAGAGTGTAGAACCTGACATTTTAAGTCTTTATATTGTAACAAACTTTATCTGTCCCCTACTCAGATAACATTATACATGCTCAAATGACAGTGTTGTTGAATATTTCACTGATTTTTCACTGAAGAGTACCACTACACAATTATGGGGCCCTCCACAGGGGGAATTTTTTTTTCAGCATAATAATTAGTACTTGTTACGTGTCAAACAGGATCTTTGCACTTGAAAAACAACCGCTATGCCACATGAAATTAATTTAACCATTGTGTTAAAAGTAGCATGTTAACATTCATTAATAATTGTGTTTCTCTCAAAAACATTTCTGGCAAACTTAAGTTAAGCTTTTAACAACATGTAAATATTCAATTAACCTTTTCCCTTATATAAGCGTGTTTCGACGGCTTTTTGACCCCCCCCCCCCCTTTTTCGTTTGAGAAATGTTGTTAAAAAAATTGACCATTTTTTCGGCGCCGTCCCCCATCCAAATATTACATCAGGGGGTTGCCAGAAGGGGGATGTGCCCCCTTCTGTTTGGGGGGTTTGAAGGGGGGCGGAGTCCCCCTCATCGCCAAGAAAATTTTGGACTTGTGAGAGGCTTTAAATGACCCCAGGTCGATCATAAGATAACGTGAACCAACGCTGAAAAGCCTTTGACTCTATCTCAATCCCTTGAGAAGTTGCAGCACTTTGAAATAAATTTTGATGGAAAAAATCGAGGCAAAAAAGTGATTTTTGGCAATTTTGAGATGTCCCCTCGTTGCCATGGTAAC